CAGCCTCCCTGCTCCTCTGATGCTGCTTGGCCTGCTGTGTTCATCCAGCTCTACACCATCTTATCTCAGATTCTCCAGCATCTGCAGTTCCTACTATATCTGAAACATTATATTCCTCGTGTTGTTTTCAGTACCTTCCTATTTAATATGGAACTATTTCTTTCGCACTGACCAACACACTATCATTTTAAGCACCTTATTCTTTTTCATAGTCTCTAAACTGGTGCCCATTCTGCTGCCACTTCAGTTTAAACCTTTCACAACCACATTCGTGAACCTTCTCATACGGACCTTGATCTCAGTTCTGTGGAGTTGTGAATTGCCCATTTTGAATGTCTCAGAACTTGCCCCAATACCCTAAGTATCTGAAATCCTCCTTCCATGTCTCAAGCTACACATTGATCCTCCCTATCCTTTTTCTAGTCTATGTATGGCACTGGAAATATCCCTGAGATTATTACCTTCAAGGTCCTACATTTTAACTTCCTCCCTAGTTTCTTGATATCAGACCATAAGACCTCAATAACTGTCTTCTCTATCTGATTGGTACCAAAATGTGCCACAATTTATGGATCACTCGCTTCCTCCTGTAGAATTTTCAGCACCATCTCCAGGATGCTTTTACCTAGTATCAGGGAGGCAACACATCATTCAGGACTCATGATGGGGCTTATAGTCTTTTCCCTAACAATGGGAATCACGTATAATAATTGTATTTCTACTCTTTGCTCTTCACTCCTGTGCAGTCCATTGCCCACTAGTGCCATTGTCCAAGCTGGTATCAGTATTCACAGTGGTCTCCAAAGCTGAGACATGCACAGCAAACACTGTAAATACTCTATTACTTCCCAGTCTTTCTGCTGGCTACTCATTCAATACCTTGAACTCTTACAACATTTGGGATGGCTACTTCTTAGAAAGTTTAATCCAGGAAATAGCTATCCTCTTTGGTGCTGAAAGGTGTGATAGCTTTACATATCTAGGCTCTACAATCACCGTCAATTCATCACTCACTACTGAAATTAACCAATGCATGTAAATGCAAAAGCCATGCTGTCCAAGTTGAATGTGTAAACAATAGCAACAATAGAAAACACCAAACTGCAAGTCTACTGAGCCTACATCCTTTGCAAACTCCTTCACAATATTGAAACCTGGAAATATATATGCTAGACAGGAGAAAAGGTTAAATGGCTTCCGTCTTTGCTGTCTCAGACTTACCTTTGCTGTTTCATCATCAGACATGGTCACTAACTCAGGTCCTGGATCCTGTTAATTAACTGCTAAGCCAATATCTGTGCTGGTTTAGATAATGACAATATACCCAATGTGGTCAAGAAACCACAGCCCCAAAATTGGACATTCTAAAGTGATCCACAACCAGAGAAACCAGTCCTGTCAGAAAATTGCCCAAACTAAATTAAACAGCAGCCAGCAGCTGTCATCTACAGAGACCAGTGGGAACCAAGATCAAAGGGGTTCAAGGGAAATTAGTTACAACCAGCCCAAGGGTTGTGTACTGGAAAAGTGTACACTAGACATTCTGGTGTCTTGACTGTCTGAGTATGTGCACTTTACATGTCCCAGCATAGCAGTAATGAAGAGTGTTGCCGTGACCCCACTGGATGATTTGAACTCAATTCATGACCCCATTGGCCAAAGGTCACAGAACATTCTTGAATGTTTGGAGGATGGGGAGGATAAAAATATGACTTGGGAGCCATCCCTCAAGTGAAGGCTCAACCTAGCCCAACCATGGAGCACCAACCACCTGGAGAGACAGAGAGAGAAAGACAGACAGACAGGTAGAGACAGAAACTGTGCCCTGGCCTGTGAGACCTTTTTTCCCTATTCATTCATGGAACGTGGGCATCATTGGCCAGGCCAGTATTTATTATCCATACTTAATTGGTCAGCAAGTAGTTAAGGGTCAACCATTCTGTTTTGGGTCTGGAGTCATATGTGGGCTGGACCAGGTAAGGATAGCAGTTTCCTTGATTAAACCAATTGTAGTGCCTGTTTGAAGTTCAGTTGGCCTTCCGTTATTAGGTGCTTTTGCATAGTTACATCATTAATCCTACACATCAAACGGTCTCTCACCATCTCATAAAAGGGTTAAACCAAAGTTACATCCTCAGCCAATTGTCTTTACCTAGACAAAAATCTGGATACAGATTCTCCTGGTTCTCAA